GTTCTCGCTCTGAAGCAGCTTATATTTTTTTTCATTGGAAACAATATATACTAACATAAGCATATACAATATATATAAAATGAATACAAAGTATATTTTGGAGGGGGGGGTTTAGGCATTAGTAGCAAGGCAGAGGAGAAATCAGGGAAAGCTTCATGTAGAAGATAGTGCCTGAGTTGAGTTTTGAAGCAAATACATGATTATGACATGCAGAGGGGAAGAAAGAATGCATTCCAGGGTTGGGCAACAGCCTATGCTATGTCACGGAGATGGGAGGTAAGAGTTTCAGCAAGAAGGTCAGTTTGGTTGGATCATAGAGTGCATCAAGAAGAATAATGTATAGTAAAGTTTTCTAGAAAGATAAGTTGAAGTCAGGTTGTGAAGAATGAAGATGAATTAAAATCTGACTCTTACAACATGACTAATGTGAAAACAGGTTTAATATGAATGTATATGTTGAGGCTATATCCATTTACACATCATCTTGGGGTGGGGGAGAGATGGAGAGAAAATTTGGAACTCAAAATCTTATGCAAGTGAATATTGAAAACTAAATATAAATAAATAAATTTATAAAAAAAAAATAAAACCTGACTCTTAAAATCAATCAAGCACTGATTAAGTATCTACTTTATGCCAGGCACCGTGCTAGGTGATGGGTATATTTGTATACACGTATATATGTATACAAAAATGCAACAAGCCTTGCTCTGTAGGAGTTTACATTCTATCGGGAAAAATCATGTAAGCATTTAGATGTCTACAGAATAAATGTAAGGTAGTTTATATGGGGAAGGCACCAGCAGTTGGGTAGGATCAGCTAGGCTATATGTATGCAAAAGATGGTGCTTGAGCCGAGTCTTGAGGGAAGTAAGGGATTCTAAGACGCAGAGGTAAGGAGGGAGTGCATTCCAAGCATGGGAGATGGCCAGTGCAAAGGTATGACTGTTGATTAATCAAATGTACAGTGATGTGGGGGCCAGGAAGTGAAGGGCTTTAAATGCCCAAAAGAACATGTATTTTGCCCTAAAAGCAACAGAGAGCCACTGGAGTTTGCTGAGTAAAAGAGTGACATGGTCAGACCTATGCTTGAAAAAAAACGACTTTGGCAGCTGGGGATATTAGAGAAGGCATGGCCAAGCTGGAGAGGATGGCTGGAGTGCATCGTTATTTGGGGAAGCCAGGTATCTGTTAGAGGAAGTAGATGGAAGGAATAAGAGAGGAAGAGGTCCAGAATGAAGATGAGTTTATTCATTATAGAATGGGAATTCCAGAAGGCACAAAGGAAGGGGTGGCTTGAGTCAGACTGAGTTGAAGAAGATGATTGAACTGTGAGGCCAGGGGTTTTGAAAAGTATCAGTACATAACCTGAATTCTTGAATATGTGAGCAGTAGTGGCTGGGGAAAAGATGGAGAATTGTGATTCAATTAAGAAACTTCTAAAGAAAGGATCAGGGGGCTGACAAATGACTGCAACTAGGATCTAATTAGGATGACATAGATGAAAGGAAGGAATCACAAGGGATTAGAAGTTGTTGAGTGATGATAGCAGTAGAGGAAATGCTTAATAGGCTGAAAATGACAATGAGGAACAAGAAGAATGCCTCATTCTCTTCCCAACTAGGGGGCATGAGAAGAGATGTATGTCATAATATAGAGGGTGGCCACAGATGTAGGGTATTCTGGTAGGAGCCAATTTTCAGTGAGAGCAAGAAGATGGAATATAATAAGAAAAGGCCCAAGACACAAGGAAATATGTTAACAATTAAAAAGGAAATTCCAGAAAGTGTCATTGACCTGATTGCCCTTCTTTGGATCATTCTGGCTGATCAATATTCCGAAATGTGGGTTCTAGAAGATGTAATATACAAGATTATTGACCAGGGGCAGCAAAAGAATAAGCACTCTCAATCTGGACACTATGCTTTTATTGGTTAATAAAGCCCAAGAACACATTGTGAGTTTTTCTTTTTTTTTCGTTCTCTGTTGGCCCATCTTGAGCTCCTAGTCCACTAGAAGCCCCACATTCTTTTCACATGAGCATCTGCTGATTATATTTCCCTCATCCTGTAATGTTAACTATGTTAACTATAATGTAACCCATCAAGGGTTAAGTGCCTTTAAAAACATTAACAAAAGCTCATATTGAGCTATCTCTGTTTGTTGCCTCATCCCTGGTCCGTATCTTCCACTATCCACCTCTTCCACTCTCCTCTCAGGAACCAATACACTTTCTTTTCCTTCCACCTCTGGTACAAAGTAAAACTTGGTTCTCTCCTAAAGAATCCACTTGCCTCCTCACCCTCTCCAATTTCGGCCATTGCAAACTTTCAGGTCTCTCATATCTAACTCCTTTTGATAGGGCCAGCAGGGGACAGCGACATACTCCTTGTACCATACTGCCATTCACAGACTTTTGCTCTGCCATATGTATTCATAACTCCTCATATTTTGAAATTTACACCACCGTGAATCTGACCAGATTCTTGTTTTGTCAGCTTCTCATTTCTAAGGAATTTATCCACTTTCCTCAATAACAGTAGAATTTTGCTTAGTTTTCTCTATCACCATTCCTACCATAATCCTAAGTGACTTCAATATTCAAGCTGATGGAATTTTAAACACTGTGGTCCAGAATTCATCAAGTAAAACTTTTGGGCTGAAGGATGAGTCTGAAAAATCTCTCTTGATAATCTTCCTTTTTTTTCCCTTATCTCTCTGTCTCACTCCTCCTTAACCTCTCCACCCTAGTCTTGACTTCCTATCACTTCATCCTTATCTGTTCTGTTATCTCTTCAAGTCAATTAAGAATATACTACCATATAAAAGGATAAGCATGGAAAGATGAAAAACAAAGTCATTATGACACAAGGGAGAATGTGACAGAGTTCCAGATAAAATGCTCAGAGAAAATTTCAGGAAGGAGATATTATGTTCAATCCAGGGGGTTTAAGGAAAGTTTCATGGAAGAGATGACTCCTTAGTTTGGCTTGAGAGAAAATAAATATTTTAAGATTTGGGAGGAAAGAGTGTCCCAGATACAGGGGAAGGTTTGAATTAAGCAGTGGTGAGAGGGTAAGTGGAAATAAAAAGGAATGATTTTTAAAATGCCACCAGGGTACATTAGACCTTTAAAGAGAACTTTTAATAAGTCACCCAACAAGTATTTATTAAGCACTTTACTCTGTGCCAGGTACTGTGCTAAATGCTGAGAATACAAAGAAAGCCAAAAACAGAGTCCCTGATCTCAAGGGACTCACATTTGAATGGCGGTGATGACATGCAAACATCTATGTACATATAATATATATATAGTATAAATTGAAGGTAATCTCAGAGAGAGGTTACTGGTGGGGGAGGGGAGGGGATGAGAAGGAAAAAGGAAGACGGGAAAAGTCTCAGGAAAGTGATACTTTGAAGCAAGCCAGGGAAACCAGGAGTTGGGAGGTGAGGAGGGAGAGCATATAGGCATGGGCGACAGTGCAGAGGCAAGGAACTGGGAGATGTGTTATATATGAGGAAGAGTATATTCTCTATGACCTGTGCTATCAGATAATAGAGAATGTGGAGGAGAGTAAAGTATAAGAAGACTTATTTGTTATTTGGGGTTTTCTTGGCAAAGATACTGGAGTGGTTTGCTATTTCCTTCTCTAGCTTATTTTACAGATGAGGAAACTGAGGCAAACAGGGTTAAGTGACTTGCCCAGGGTCACATAGTTAATGAGTGTCTGAGGATAAAGATGAGTCTTCTTGACTTCAGGCCCTGTGCTCTATCCACTTTGCCACCTAGATACCCAAAAGAATACTAGACAGAGATAGCAAGGGGATAGGTTATGCAATGCTTTAAATGCTAAACACAGGATTCTGTATTTGATTCTGCAGGCAACAGGCAGCCACTAGAATATATCAATAAAGGGTATGTAGGGTGACATAGTCAGATATGTGCCTCAGGAAAATCACTTTGGCAGCTGAGTAGAGGATGGACTGGAGTGGGGAGAGATCTAAGGCAGCAAGACAAACTAGAAGGCTATTGTAATGGGCTGGGGATAAAGTGATTAGAGCCTGCCGTGGGGTGGTAGTTGTGGGAGTGATGACAAGCAGATGTTTAGGAGAAATGTTGTGAAGTTAGAACTAACAAGATTTGGCAACTGATTGTATATATGGAGTGAGTGGGGAAGAGGAGTTAAGGATGATACTAGGCTGTGAGACTGTGAGACTGGGAGGATGCTAGCACCCTCCACAGAAATAAGGAAGAGGGCAGGGCTTTAGGGGGAAATATAATTAGTTCCGCTTTAAATACATTGAGTTTGAGATGTCTATGGTACATCAAAGATGTCCAAGAGGCAGTTGGTGACAGCTCAGGAGAGAGGCTGGTACTGGATACATAGATTTGAGAATCGTCATCATTCAGAAGATAGTTGAACCCATGGGAGCTGATGAGCCACCAAATGAGACAGCATAGAGGGAGAAGAGAAAGACAGACCCTTGGGGGACACCCACAATTAGTGGCTATGACCTGGATAAAAATCCAACAAAAAAGATTCAGGAGTAGTTAGGCAGGAGGAAAACCAGGAGAGAGAAGTGTCATAAAGAGGAGAGAGAATCCAGCAGATATCCAAAAGAAGAGGTCAATTCTACAGAGAGGTCAAGGTGTATTAGTACTTTTAAGTTAAGAAAATAATGTGTTCAATTTTAGATATGTTGATGTTCAGGTGCTAGTGAATCATTCAAGGGAAATGCTCAGCAGGCAAATGGAGATTACAGTTCACAAATAGGTTGGTTTGGATGGCTCCCCTTCACCACCTATTGCTATCCATTCTTTATTTTTTCAATTGATAAATTTTACCTTTCATCAACAGATGCAGTTCAAATAGATGAATAAGAGTCAAAAGAAAGCAAAATGATAAGCAGTATAAGCAAAATGATAAGAAAGATAAAAAACAAAAGAAAATAAATATACGCTTAAAGAGAATCAATGATAGAAGAAAACAAAACTTGGGAAAAAGACATAAAATGTTCTGTGAATTTGTATCCTTGTGCAGGAGCCATGCTGATTTTCTCCCCAATGTGCCAATTTTATTACATGTGCTGCTAAAAGTGAACACAAGGCTTACCCTAATTCTTTAAAACAATTCAAATGCTAGCTCCTACAAGAAACCTTCCTTCATTCTCCTGAGTCAATATCAAACTTCCCCCTTTGGACTTCACATAATACTTTGTTTTGGAACTTTCTAATGCATTTATCATGTAATGTTATATATTACAATGAAGTACTGGTATCATACCCCCACTATGAGGTCCATGAGGGCTAGTACTTTCCCCAGTGCTTAGCATAGAGATCTGCATACTGCAAAGCACTCGATAAATGTTTGTTAAATTAAATAAAAGGAAGTAACTATATTGCTTTTTATCTTTTTATTATTTGTTGCATGTAGTATGAATGAATGAATGAATTAATGAATGCATGAAAAAGCATGTATTAAGTGTTTACGTGTCAAGCATTGTGCTAAGCAGTGAGTAACAGCACACATTCTGATTTGGGAATACAGTGCATATAGGAAGGTTCAGCCGAGCTGAGCCTCCTTAGGAGTTGGCAAAAGGGTGTAAGGTAATGCCCAGGGATGTTTAAGATGTAGTGTCACCTGGTTAAGCTAACTAATCTTCTATATGTAGGAACTTAACGTTTTTGAATGAAATTAAATGCAGGACTTAACATTTATTCCTATTATGTTTTAGATTGTTAGTTTAACCTATTAAACCCATCTGTTAAGATGGAATGTAATTCTGGCATGATCTTCCCATAAGATTTCTGTCATCTACAAATTTAATAATTTAATTTCTTATGTTCCTCCTAGTCAGTAATAAAAATATTAAAGACGACAGGGCCAAAAGTACTTGAGCTCTCATACAGATGCAACAGTCATGACTATTGTCTAACCAGTTCTAAATCTACCTGTCCTGTAATTCAGCCCACATTTTATCTGTTGAATTTTAAATTGATCTCTCAAATGCAAGGAAAGGATACTGTTAATCTCCTACTAACTCTCTGTAATAACTCCCACCTCAGCAGTTACCATGCACAGAGTGTACTATGTTAGGTGCTGGGTGATACAAAGATGAATAGGATTTGTCTTGGCCTCACAGAATTTACAGTTTAATAGTTTATATTTTACTGCTAATCAAGGAGAAGATAAAGGCGATCACATTTTGGTTTATATATGATACATTCTTAGCTTAATTTTAACATATTATTGTCTTTACAATCATATTTGCCTTCTGAGAAGGCATTTCTGTTTCTTCAGGATTCCTAGAAGAGAAGGCACTAAATTATTTCCTGAATGAAAAAATGAGTTTTGGGTGAAAAGATGGAAACTCATTGGAATAAACCATCATCTACCTGGATTGGTGAGGAAAAAGAAAGAAAGGGGCTTGGGTATCCTGGAAAGAGGAGGCGATTAGGAGATGGAAGGCAAGAGTTCCAAACTCAGATCTGTTACTTAGGATCATAGCCCTAGATCCAGAAGAAACTTGAGGAGCCCTCCAGGCTACCCCCGTCATTTTACAAATGAGGAAACTGAGTCCCATGAAGGTTAAGTGATTAGCCCAAGGTCATGTGCAAACAGGTAAGTCACTTAGCCTCTCTGGGACTCAGTTTCTCATTTGTAAAATAAGCAAGTTGGAACAAGATGATAAGGTCTCTCCCAGCTCTATATCTATGATCCTATAATTCCAGATAGAATTTTATTAAGTAGGGAAGTTCCAGGACAAAGGAAGGAGATATGTTTATACTCCTGAAAGCAAAATGAACAGATGTTAATCAGGCAAAGGCAGGAAGGAGAAATGTTAAGTTTAAGAGATGGTATAGGCATCAAAAAAGGTAAGAGACTTGCATGTGAAGTTCATCATGCCATGAAAGCTTTGCACTAGTAGAAAAATCACCACCTTTCCTCTGCGAACAATCAATAAGGCAGATGATTATGTGGTCAGTATTTCTGGTATTGTAGTATATTTCCCCTTTTGATATTTTTCATTTTGTGAATTTTTTTTAAAAAATAGCAGTAGTGCTATTTACATTTTGAGTACTACTAATTTTTCATTATGATTATTTAATTTTTTTGTTTCATTGTTCTATGGTAAAATGTCCCTAATGTTATTTTTGCTACTTTTGGGGCCACTCCTCTCTGCTGCTTTCCACCCAGGGGAAAATACCTCCAATTTTATGATGTAAGAGGAAAAATAGGATGCATTTTACAGAAGTTACATTTATAGCACATTATCAGAGAACTTTTAAGCTGGACAGAACTTCATTGCCTCCCATCTATTCAGTTAACTAAGAGTTACCTTGTTTTTTTTAATTGAACTGTTGGAGTAGGGTAGAAATGAAATAGGAGGCTGGAGAAGAAAAGACTACAACTATTTTGCCACTGCTGTAGCAGAAACCTAAGTATTTCAGTCAGAGCTTTTAGTCCTTGACTCTAACTCTTGGCCCCTAAAGGATAGAAAGTAGAGGAAAACAAAGGCTTTTTTTCTAGGGCAGGAGGGGGACTCATGTTCAAACAACTTCTCTCTCATCCCATCTTGATAACAGAAGTGTTGGGGGTGAAGAGAAACAACCACTATTTACTCTCCTTTCTATCTAGTATATAATTAAAGTGGGCAGCTAGCTGGTGTAACGGATGGAGTGCAGAATTTGGAGTGAGGAAGACTTATTTTCCTGAGTTCAAATCTGGCCTCATACACTCACTGTGTGACCTTGGGAAAGTCACTTAATTCTTTTTGTCTCAGTTTCCTTATACATTAAATGAGTTGGAGAAGGAAATGGCAAACCACTCCAGTACCTTTGCCAAGAAAACTAGAAATGGGGTCACAAAAAGTAGGACATGACTGAAAAACAACTGAACCACAAAAAATATAATTAAAAGAAAAAAAATCATGGCAAAAATGACATATATAGAAAGAATAAGGAGAAACAGGACTATCATTTGGCTCTTTTCTAATTCAGATCCCATAATATCACTCAGTTTACTACAACAAAAATACAGAAGATCAAGTCTATTAAGATTCTTTTAGGCAATACCAATGTAACTTCCAATGTTTCTTTTTGTCCTTTAAGAGCCTTGTGAACACTTCAAATTCATTAAATTAATTATTCCAGCTTTATACTGTCCTCATTGAGATTTTACACTACCAAGACATTTTGTTTCCAATGTGAGACTCACTATAATAAAATATCAGTTAAAGTAAGATTGATTTCAAATTGATAATTAAAAAAATACTGACAAGAATATCTAATCCTGGCTCTGCTGTCGTGTGAACCAATCCCTTACACCTTTCCCTTAAGTTTCAGGATTTTTCCTTATTACAACTACAGAATTTCAATCTTGGACAGCAGAAGATATCTCTATTATACATATTATAATAAGTCCTACTATATCTATTGGTACTTGTCTCATAGGATTATTCCAAAATTTTATCTTCTTAAACTTTTCTTTTGTCTCATTCTACATAAAAAGTATGTTGTTTTCTGAAAAGGGCAAACTCGTAACTGAATACAGAAACATAAGTAATACTCCAAATTAATAAAGCTGAAGTGCAAGATTGAAGTGTAACATGATAAGAATCATGACTAAAAAATGTTTAAAACCATAAAAATGCAGCTTCAATCCACAAACACTTTGGATAATGCCATTAATATGGGTAACTGGATTATCCAACTAAGGAATCTGAAAAGAAAAACCCAGATATAGAGATGAAATATGGTTCTTTTCTAGTTTCTGAAGTTAAATCTACTTTTAGAACAGACTGCTCATGTTTCTCTACTCATTCTCTGAAGGTTTTCTATTTGCATTTCTTTAAGCACTTCAGGTTTTATATTCTGTTTCTCTTAGAAAATGTCAAATTAACAAAGGGATAATGTTGGATTAAGTGTTCCTTAAAAAAGTTACAGGAGTTCTAAACTTTCAAAAATGGGAGTTACAATGGAAAAACTATTACATCATCATCATGACTTAGCAATTAAATGGTGAAGTGCTTTACCACCACTTCTACTAGCTTTTCCTCATAATAATTTAGGAGACATATTAGGACTATACTATACCCACAAAAGACATGAAGAAAAATATTCATGATGTTAAGGTCACTAAGCCGAATTTCTATGAGTAAAAATGCTAGTTATTTCACTAGTCAATAGCAAAATGCCCAATTGCTCTCTTGAAGTAACCAGAACATTCCAACTTACTGAACAAGAAACAGAAATATAGAAAGTTTAGAAAGTCATTAAATGAACTAGTAAGATCAAAATGAAATTAGAACACATAATCTTTTTCGAGTCCTTTCCACCAAGTGGATTCCTTTGAGATTATTAGACATCTATTCTTACAACAAATGTGTATTAGCACCTACTAAGTGCCAGATTGTGTTCGGTGTGGCAGATACAGAATCAGACACAGTTCTTACCCTAAATAGGCTTATATTCTATTGGGGGGAACAATATGTCCACATATAAGTAAATATAGAATATATACAGACCAAACACAAAAAATGGTGGTGGTGGGATAACCACTTGCCAAGGAAGGGAATCAGGAAAGGGCATGAAAGAACCAATGAATTTTAGGACAGTAGAGTTAGAAGAGACCTAGAGATCATTTGATTCCATTCTCTGACTTCAGTCAATCATTCTAGACAGAGAGATAATATACATCTCCTTCTTGAAAATCTTGAGGATGGGGACTCCGAAACACCACTACACAGCTCATTAGTACTTTTTATCAACTTGATGTTAAGTTTGGTCTTAACATCATAAATTAAAGAGTTGGAAGGAGACTTGGGATCGTTCAGGCCATTTCCTTCATTCCCATGACCCTCAAATACAAAAGTTTCTTTGTGCTATGCCAAAAATATCTCTTCAATTTAATTCTACTTTTCTTTGTGTGGAGGTGTAGCTGTATGGTGATACTGGGGATAGAACGCCACACCTGGAGTCAGGAAGACATGAGTTCAAACCTGGCCTTAGACACAAGCCGTGTGACTCTGAGCAAGTTGCTTAACCCTGTTTGCCTCAGTTTCTTCATCTGTAAAATAAGCTGGAGAAGGAAATGGCAAACCA